AATTAACCCTAGCTGAGAATTGCACAAAATCAAGGGATCACAACCACCACAGCAGTGTACACAATATAAGTGAGCATAAAATACTATCTGTGGCTGCCCAGTAAACCATTTTGACAAAAAAATAGTCTTGTAATTTTATTTGGTCTAAAAGAGGTGCCAGACAATCTGCTGCTGGTAAATCAATGTTGTACCCCTGCATGTGTGTGAGCATGTGCACTCACCTATACGTGTATGTGGTTGCAGGGGTTGGGTCAGTTTCCTGGCCCTGGTGTACTCACCTATTTGTGGTTGCAGGGGTCGAGTCTTAGCTCCTGGCCCCGCCTCTTCACCGGTTGCTACTGGGCCCTCTCTCTCCCCGCTCCATGAGCTTTATCAAACCTCGTCTTTAAACTGTGTATGGTTCCTGCCTCCACTACGTCATTTTCTAGGCTATTCCACTGCCTGACAACTCTATGACTGAAGAAATACTTCCTAATATCTCTCTGACTCATTTGTGTCTTCAACTTCCAATTGTGGCCTCTTGTTTCTGTGTCCCCTCCCTGGAACATCCTGTCTTTGTCCACCTTGTCTATTCCACGCAGAATTTTATATGTCGTTATCATGTCTCCCCTGACCCTCCTGTCCTCCAGTGTCGTCAGGCCGATTTCCCTTAATCTTTCTTCGTAGGACATTCCCCTTAGCTCTGGAACTAACCTTGTCGCAAACCTTTGTACTTTCTCTAGTTTCTTGACGTGCTTTATCAAGTGCGGGTTCCAAACAGGTGCTGCATACTCCAGCGTGGGCCTGACATACACGGTGTAGTGTCTTGAACGATTCCTTACTAAGGTATCGGAATGCTGTTCTCAGGTTTGCCAGGCGCCCATATGCTGTAGCAGTTATCTGATTGATGTGTGCTTCCGGAGACATGCTCGGTGTTATACTCACCCCAAGATCTTTCTCCTTGAGTGAGGTTTGCAGTCTTTGGCCACCTAGCCTGTACTCTGTCTGTGGTCTTCTGTGCCCTTCCCCTATCTTCATGACTTTGCATTTGGCAGGATTAAATTCGAGAAGCCATTTGCTGGACCAGGTGTCCAGTCTGTCCAGGTCTCTTTGAAGTCCTGCCTGGTCCTCATCTGATTTAATTCTCCTCATTAACTTCACATCATCTGCAAACAGGGACACTTCTGAGTCTAAGTCTAACCCTTCCATCATGTCGTTCACATATACCAAAAATAGCACTGGTCCTAGGACCGACCCCTGTGGGACCCCGCTCGTCACAGGTGCCCACTGTGATACATCATTACGTACCATGACTCGTTGTTGCCTCCCTGTCAGGTATTCTCTGATCCATTGCAGTGCCCTTCCTGTTATATGCACCTGATGCTCTAGCTTCTGCACTAATCTCTTGTGAGGAACTGTGTCAAAGGCCTTCTTGCAGTCCAAGAAGATGCAATCAACCCACCCCTCTCTCTCGTGTCTTACTTCTGTTATTTTATCATAAAACTCCAGAAGGTTTGTGACACAGGATTTGCCTTCCATGAATCCGTGCTGGTTGGCATTTATACTCTTGTTCCGTTCCAGGTGCTCCACCACTCTCCTCCTGATAATCTTCTCCATAACTTTGCATACTATACACATCAATGACACAGGTCTATAGTTTAGTGCCTCTTTTCTGTCTCCTTTTTTAAAAATGGGAACTACATTTGCCGTCTTCCATACCTCAGGTAGTTGCCCAGTTTCCAGGGACGTGTTGAAGATTGTGGTAAGTGGCACGCACAACATATCTGCTCCCTCTCTAAGGATCGACGGGGAGATGTTGTCCGGTCCCATTGCCTTTGAGGTATCGATGTCCCTTAGCAGTTTCTTCACCTCCTCCTCATCTGTATGTATGTCGTCCAACACTTGTTGGTGTATTCCTTGCTGGTGTCCCCATCTGGTCTGTCCCTGCAGAGTCCTTCCTGTCTCTACTGTAAATACTTCCTTAAATCTCATGTTGAGCTCCTCACATACCTCTTGATCGTTTCTTGTGAGTTCTCCACCTTCTTTCCTCAGCCTTATCACCTGGTCCTTGACTGTTGTCTTCCTCCTAATGTGGCTATACAGCAGTTTCGGGTCAGATTTGACTTTCGATGCTATGTCGTTTTCATACTGTCGCTGGGCCTCCCTCCTTATCTGTGCATACTCGTTTCTGGCTCTTCTACTAATCTCCTTGTTTTCCTGGGTCCTATGCCTCCTGTACCTTTTCCATTCTCTGTTGCACTTAGTTTTTGCCTCCCTACACCTTCGGGTAAACCAAGGACTCGTTTTGGTCTTCCTATTATTTCTGTTTCCCTTGGGAACAAACCTTTCCTCTGCCTCCTTGCACTTTGTTGCCACATATTCCATCATCTCGTTTACTGATTTTCCTACCATTTCTCTGTCCCACTGAACCTCCTGCAGGAAGTTTCTCATACCTGTGTAGTCCCCCCTTTTATAGTTTGGCCTGTCCCCTTCAGTTCCTGTTACCTTCTCCACTTGTAACTCTACTATATAATCAAAACTCAGAACCACGTGATCGCTAGCTCCAAGGGGCCTCTCGTAAGTGATGTCCTCAATGTCTGAACTGCTCAGGGTGAACACAAGATCCAGTCTTGCTGGCTCATCCTCCCCTCTCTCTCTGGTTGTGTCCCTGACATGTTGATGCATGAGGTTTTCAAGTACCACATCCATCATCTTGGCTCTCCATGTTTCGGGACCCCCATGTGGCTCCAGGTTTTCCCAGTCGATCTCCCTGTGGTTGAAATCGCCCATTACCAGTAACTTTGCTCTGCTCGAGTGAGCTCTTCTTGCCACCTCAGCCAGTGTGTCCACCATCACCCTGTTGTTTTCTTCGTACTCCTCTCTTGGCCTCCTGCAGTTCTGTGGTGGGTTATACATCACTCCAATGACTACTTTATGTTCTCCGGACTGAATTGTACCTACAATGTAGTCTCTTTCTCCAATCATGTCCATGCCTCCCATTTCCTCAAATCCCCATTGGTGTTTTATGAGCAGTGCAACCCCTCCTCCCCCTCTACTCCTTCTATCTTTCCTCAGGATCTGATATCCCATTGGGAAGATTGTGTCTGTTATTGTCTCAGCAAGTTTTGTTTCTGTGACTGCTATGATGTCTGGGGATTTTTCACTGATTCTTTCGTTCCACTCCTCATGTTTATTCGTTATTCCATCCGCGTTTGTGTACCAAACTTTCAGTTTCTTTTCTATCATTGTGGTCATGCAAGAACATTGGGGTTGGGGGAGCAAGAGCCTTGGTGGGGGTCTATATGGGGCTGTGGTGTAGGTGGGGTTTGTGATGATGGGGGTGGGGTCAGAATGCCCATAAGGGACAGCTGTTGGGGTGAGGTTTGTGATATGGGGGTTGGTGGCAGAGGGAACAGTGAGTGGGTTGTAGTATAGATTGCTCAGTTGCGTTGGGAATGTCGCGGTTGGAGTCTTTTGGTGGGAGATTCTGTGGGGTGTGTTTGCCCTTCTCCTGTGTCTGGGTCCTCCCTCATCTTCGTCATTGCTCTGTTCCTCCTTGCGTCTGTGTACCCTCTCTTTCAGTGTAGTCCTTTCTTCTTGTGTTCTGTCGCAGTCGGGGTTTATACTCTCTGGTACCCCCGTTTGTCCCTCAGTCTTGCTTTCTCTTGCAGAATCCTGGTTCGAACTGATTCTTCCTTGAAAATTACTTTGACAGGCCGTATCCTTCCACTCGCAAACCACCCAATTCTCTGAAAATTTGTCACCTGGGTCATATTGCCCTCACCTATTGTTTTCATGATGCCTTCAATTTATTTTTTTCTCCTCCTGTTTTATTTCTTCGAAGTTGTCCCCTTGGCTTTTTGGAGCCCGTACACAAAAACTGACCTCGCCCTTTCCTCCTCCCACTGAGTCTCCATCTGCTTCCTCTGAGGCATTTTATTTCCTTCCATTGACATGTTCTTGCTTTCAGTCCCTGTCATATCTGAAACTTCTATTCTCAGTGAACTGTCTTTCATGACCAGCTGTCCCTTGCTACTGCAGTTGGCTGTTAGAATCTCTGCATCTTTTTTTTGTGTGTGTTGTGTGTGTGTGTGTGTGTGTGCGTGCGCGCGCGCGCGCACACGTGCATGCATGTGCATATACATCTACTGTAATCACAGACATGCAATCTTAATGCAAGACAAGCCACAGGGGGTGGGGTGGGGGGAATCTTTACCTAGAAATCTTTCACATATATCTGTGCATCATCAGGAGCTATGCAATGGTGCAAGTGCAGCAACAGATAGTTTGAAGGAATGTTTCTTAGAGAAAGTAACATGAACCATCAGTCCTGTTCCTCCTCACATGCTCCCTTGTATGGAAACTTGTGAAAGACTTGACCAAGATTTCCTTCCCCTGTGGTTTGCTTGAGCATCACAGACACACATACTTGATTTATTTCTATATTAATTATTATTTATATATTATATATGAAATTTATTTATAATATATTTTATATAATTTATTTCTTCTTCTTTCGTTTCAACACTACGGCCGTTCCCACGAGGCTGGGGTGTGGCCCAAGGAAAACGAAAGTTTCTCCTTTTACATTTATATATATACAGAGAGAAGGTTATAGCCCTTGCTCCAGGCATTTTAGGGTCGCCTGTGAACTTACGCATGGCTTACGGAGGAAGAATTCTGTTCACTTCCCATGGAGAATATATATATTATATAATATATATATATTGATATATTTCTTTCTTTAAGAACACAGGCCGTCCCACCAAGCGGATGGCCCGAAAGGAAAAACGAAGTTTCTCTTTTAACATTTGTAGCTATACAGAGATTGGCTCCTAGCCCTTGCTCCCGCATTTTAGTCGCCTCTAAAACACGCATGGCTTAGGAGAAGAATTCTTTCCACTTACCCATATATATATATATATATATATATTATATATAATATATATTATATATATATATATATTATATATATATATATATATATATATATACACACACACATACAAAATGTATGTATATATGAAAATTCTGTACAAACAATTATGCGTTTTACGTGCACACAAATTATAACAAGATTTATGGATAAACATGGACAATACTCCTGTCAAATGTATAACATTTTAACAAAATAGTCACTCTACCTTGAGAAACATTTGCTTTTACCCCTTACTGTTTGTGGCCTCAAATTACAATTACAGTATACAGTAGTATTAAGAATTAAAATAAAGAAATGCTATAATTCGTACAGTTCTTCATGTTCACGAAGTAGTCTCTTAAGAGACATTGTAATGGTGCGTCCCTGGGTGACAACTGGATGAGGTGCTGATGTGGGATCATGCCATCCATTTTGATATATGCTGTCACGTACCTTAGAATGGTAAGAGCGCCGGTCATTGCTACAGCCAGAGTCATCCACTTCCATTCTGTCCAATACTGGGCTGAAATAAATTTTAATTTTTAAAATATGTACATGTACACAGCCATGAAAACCTTTCCATATAATTTACTTGTATTATTATATATACTATATCCACTGGGAAGTGCTAAGCCCATGTGGGGGTCATACAATGCCTTACAATTGGAAGGTAACTGGATTTGATCTGAGGAAGGGAATAGCTTTAATTCCTTAGATCACGAATCCTTTGCTAGAATAAAGGCACCCTTTTCACTTAGAGTTTCCAAGTTTCAAATTTAACTCCTAAAATACACATTTTCGAGCAGTAATGGTGATGCCTGCTAAGTTACAAAGTTTACAGTTTTAATGTAAACTTTTAGGATGAGTTGTGTGACAATTTTGCATTGTTGTTTTTAATTATTTTGTGGGGAAATAAGAGTTAGTGAATTAAGGATGAAATTCAGTTCAAGGTAAGATTAAGGTAATTATTTCTAAGACAGAAGATAGAGTAGGTGACTAGTAGATAATATTGAAAACTGAATACTGTTCATGCTGACAATGCTGGGTGTTTACATTTTAGTTGATCATACAAATCCTGCTGGAGCTGCACTGCATGACCCTTGTAGGTTTAGCACTTCTTTTTATAATAATAATAAATCCTGCGGGAGATTTTCAATTATCAATCTTCCAATTCTTGTTTAACCCTTTGACTGTTTTGGTCGTATATATACATCTTACGAGCCAATGTGTTTGACATATATATACTCAAAAGTTTTAGAGGCTTCAAATCAAGCAGGAGAAAGCTGGTAGGCCCACATGTGGGAGAATGGGTCTGTGTGGTCAGTGTGCGCAGTATAAAAAAAAATCCTGCAACACTCAGTGTATAATGAGGAGAAAAAAAAACTGACCGTGTTTTTGGATTAAAACGCCGACTTTGAGGTGTATTTTCGTATAGTATTTATGGTTGTATTCTTATTTTCTTGGTCTCATTTGATAGAATGGAAAACATATACAAATAAGTGATTGTGATTGGTTTTACTATGAAAAGGATCTTGAAATGGAGCTCAAAGTGGCAGAAGTGTTCAATTTTTGCCGATGTTCAAGAGTAAACAAATGAAGTCATTGGTCAATAAATGTCCAACTAGCCATTCTAATACACAGTCACAAATGGGTTGACATTATTTATACAATTATTACAATATTGCAGTAGTCTGCATAGCAGTAAATCTATTTTTTGTTTGAATAAAAATTCAAAATAGAAAGCTAGAGGCCGAGGCAGGGGTCTGGAGATGTGACTGATGAACAGAGAAAATGTTATTTTAGTGCCAGGAATGTCTGCATTGTTCATTCTGGACCCTATTTTGAAACTGACATTTTTTAATTTGTATGAAATTGGCCAAATTGCCAATTTCTGACCACTTTATTGGGTAGTTGAAATCGGTAAATGGGCGGTTTCTTGTACTCGATCAATAGAACAAATGGAGTTTTAAAAAATATAAATTAAGAAAAAGTATGAAGAGCTTTAAATTAATCAAAGCACATGGATCAGAATGAAATGAATATAGCCACAATATAATGAAATACTGAAGGAAAAAAAAAAAGGTGGGTCCTTCAGGATACCAGGAAAAGCTCTTGGTCCAAAGAATTGGAGGAACTCTCCCCTGTGGATTAAGCCTGATACCTATAACTCACCAAGTGTTGTATGACCCCCAGTGGATTTAGCACTTCCTCATTAACCCTTTGACTGTTGCGGCCGTATATATACGTCTTACGAGGTACCGTGTTTGACGTATATTATTTTTTTTTTTTATTATCACACTGGCCGATTCCCACCAAGGCAGGGTGGCCCGAAAAAGAAAAACTTTCACCATCATTCACTCCATCACTGTCTTGCCAGAAGGGTGCTTTACACTACAGTTTTTAAACTGCAACATTAACACCCCTCCTTCAGAGTGCAGGCACTGTACTTCCCATCTCCAGGACTCAAGTCCGGCCTGCCGGTTTCCCTGAATCCCTTCATAAATGTTACTTTGCTCACACTCCAACAGCAATTTGACGTATATATACTCATAAATTCTAGCGGCTTCAAATCAAGCAGGAGAAAGCTGGTAGGCCCACATGTGAGAGAATGGGTCTGTGTGGTCAGTGTGCACCATATAAAAAAAATCCTGGAGCACGCAGTGCATAATGAGAAAAAAAAAACTGACCGTTTTTTTTTTTTAATTAAAATGCCGAATTTGTGGTCTATTTTCGTTTAGTATTTATGGCTGTATTCTCGTTTTCTTGGTCTCATTTGATAGAATGGAAAACATATTATAGAAATAGAGGTGATTTTGATTGATTTTACTATAAAAAGAACCTGGAAATGGAGCTCAAAGTAGGGGAAATGTTTGATTTTTGCCAATGTTCAAAAGTAAACAAATGATGTCATTGTCCAATAAATGTCCAAGTAGCCATTCTAATATGCAGTCATGAATGGGTTGATGTTATTTATGCAATTATTACAGTATTGCAGTAGTCTGCATAATAGTAAGTCTTCTATTTTTTGTTTGAATAAAAATTCAAAATAGAAAGCAAGAGTAATATCAGAGGGGCCTGGAGACATGACTGGTGAACAAAGAAAATGTTATTTTAGAGCCAGGAATGTCTGCATCGTTCATTCTGGACCTTATTTTGAAATTGACATATTTTTTAATTTTCGTGAAATTGGCCAAATTGCAAATTTCTGACCACATTATTGGATAATTGAAATAGGTAAATGGGCAGTTTCTTGTACTCAATCTTTAGAAAAAATGGAGTTCTAAAGAAATAGCTATGAGTTTGGTCGACTGGAACAACGGAATTAGCCAAAAATAGGGCTCAAAGTGGGTGAAATCGCCGATTTGTAAATATCGCCGAGGTTGCTAACTTCGTGAGAGCATAATTCCATCAGTTTTCCATCAAATTTCGTTTTTTTTGGTGTCATTACAATCGGGAAAAGATTCTCTATCATTTCATAAGAAATTTTTTTTTTTTTTTTTTGTAATTTTGCGATACCAGGAGATACCTCAGGATTGGGGGTTGCGACAGTCAAGGGGTTAATATTAGTATTATATTTAGTGGAAAGCTTTAAACTCATGGAGGTCATACAGTGACTGGGAGGCAATCAAGTGCAATACAATAATGATAGAGGTGGAATTATGCATTTCAAAAATAGTTAAAACCTATGAACTGCAGTCAAGCAAAATGCAGAGCCAAAAAGGTAAAATAATGCCAATTTGACCAGCATAAACAAAATGATAAAAGGGCATTCCAAAAACCACAGGTTAATGACCTGTTGGCAGAGACGGAGCAATTATTATTCAAAAGTACTGAAAGCAAAAATGCATAAAAAATTTGAAATAAAAGGAAACAAGACAAATCAGTAAGATAATGCAGTGAAAGTTTCAAAAAGAAGACACATTGGATAAAAATTTTACTCTAAAACACTCACCAATGTCAAGCAAAGGGAAGAATTGCTGTAAAAAGCCAAGGACCAAGAAAACATGAAAACTGCAAATCCATAACCATTAGGCAAGACCTATCAAAACATATAACCAAAATCAAGGAAAACATTTAAGTGGCCAAACTACTGCAGGAAGAATTGAGCACAAATCTGAGCCTGTTTATTAAATGAGCTTTCAATACACTGGATGGAAGATAAAAAAAGATATGCAGACCAACATTAAATATGGAAGTCAAAATTTGATATAGACTATAAAGAGACAGGTTAATCTAAAAAAAAATCAGTCTCTATAGATGAAAAAGAATCAGATATGGTCTAACTAAAACCAAACTGGAGGACCAAACGAAATGGAGAAGACAAGTGTGCTTAATTATTATAACAAGAGCCACAGTGGTTGTAAATTGCCTAAGGAATGGGAGGCAATCCAACTTCATCTGAGGAAGGGGAGGGGGACCTCCAATTTCTAGGATCAGGAGCCCTTCGCTAGCAACGTGAACAGAATGTTAGAACAAAGGCTGGTGGAATAGCAATAATGCAATAATGATAGTAAAATATTACACACTACATAAATTTGAATGAGAAATACAGTACCTAGTATACAGTACTGTAAAATCTTAAATGGTAGATATCCAAACCAAATTGAAAACTAAAAAAAAAAAAAAAAAAAAAAAAAAAAAAAAAAAAAAAAAAAATTAAGACATAAGAGATAAAAACTTTGGAGGAGATAAATGAAAGACTACTCTTAACCCTTTGACTGTTTCAGTCGTATATATATGTCTTACAAGCCACCGTGTTTGACGTATATATACAATGGTCCCTCAATAATCATCCATAATCCGTTCCTGGAAGTGGGACTATTATCGAAATGGACGATTTACGAATCAATTTTCCCCATAAGAAATAATGTAAATTCAATTAAACCGTTCCTGACACCCAGAAGTATTAAAACAAAAAATTTTTTTACATGAAATATAGATGTAGTACATAAACAATACAGTGGCACATGATGAATTAAACATTAACAGAATAACACTTACCTTTATTGGCGATTCTTCTTTGTGTATGGAAGACTGGAGAAGGAGACAGATTGGATGATTTACTGTTTGGAAGGGGAATCCCCTTCCATCAACACCTTGGGTACCAATTGCTTTTCTGGGCTTACTTCTCTTCTCTGTTTCTCATGCAACTGCCTAGCCTTTTCACAAATAAGCGACGTCATAAGACTATCTCCTGCTCATTGTTTCTCATTTACCCACACCAATAATAACTTCTCAACATCTTCGAGTACTGGTGATCTCATTTTTGTCAGCATATTTACCCCCTTTGCAACAACAGCGTCCTTGATTTCCTGACGAAAAAACAGGACTATTTCCAAAATGGACGACTTTCAGGCCGGACGATTATTGAGGGACCACTGTATACTCATAAATTTTAGCGGCTTTAAATCAAGCAGGAGAAAGCTGGTAGGCCCACATGTGAGAGAATGGGTCTATGTGGTCAGTGTGCAAAATATAAAAAAAATCCTGGAGCACGCAGTGCATAACGAGAATTTTTTTTTT